ATTTAAATGTAAATCTGTGCTTCGATTAGGATTTAATATTAAAAATAAAAACTGTTTATTCTAATTTCTTTATTGTTTAGACGGTTTAGAATAAAAAATTGAATAATTTATCATTATCGACTATCGTCTTAAAAGTATATTTATTTTTTTAATTTAAAAAACCCAGTTTTCTCGAAATTTGACCCTTTTTCTTGCTGAAAAAAATTACGTGATATTTGTCGAGACCCCCCCTCTCCCCTACGTGAGATTTAGTGAGGTTTTTCTCGACCCCCTCACCCCCCTAAACGTCTCACGTAATTTATGGACGCCCCCTAACAGTAAACAAACAAAAATGTCTAAAGATTTTTAAATGAGTGTTCATCTTGGCCACTAACTTACTTCATTTAAGTGCTTATCTCTATCCATGTACGAATAATAAACTATGCGTTATGTTATGAAGAGCAATAAATAAATTAGTACCTACCTGTTAGTTTTAAATGCCATATCCTCAGTCTCGTGGCTCCCCCGCTCTGCCAATACAAGTCATGAGGTAAATTAGTTACATTTATCTGTATTCCGCGCACGCCGTTGTTTTTCCGCTCGCGTGGCGCTGCCCAAATAGGACGGCTAAAGTATCAGAGGCCACCTTTGGCGAACGGCGGCTAATGTGGTACACGAATGTACTCGAGGGTAAAAATGGTTTTCAACTCGAATCGCGAATTACTTCAATAAATAAGACCACATTCAAAATTGTACGTTATTTATTTTATTTAAATATGTTGTACATGTGTATCAAACCGATATCCATGCAAGGGATGTTCTCATTAGTTGCACAACTTCTTGAAATGTTAAAGAATTATTATTCTACTACGGCGATGCCTATCAATTCACAAACATAGCTATTTGATGTTGGCGCCCAACGTGTTGTTTTAGATGAATATGTTTAGAAAAATATCAAACCGTGTTGAGTATTTTTTGTATAACAAATGCTGTAATGGACAACACGCATAAGTTGTAATATTAAGTTAAATTATGACTTAATTTAAAGTTTAGATCACACACATTACATTAGTTTTTATTTCACCTCAATCCATCCAGTATTACCGAAGATAGAGCCTCGAGAAGTTCACGGACTTTTTAAAATTTTCAAAATTTTCCAATATTCGCGCGTGACGTCACAACATGATTTTGCAGCCCCCGCACGTTAACCCATTTACCACTTTTTGTCTTTTCACTCTAAAATAAAATTTTACCTAACTGACATCTGTTGTTAGTTGTCATCGTTCAATCACATTTCAAACTAGGCGCTAAAAAAGTAACCATTATTATGCCACCTATTGCCAATTTTGTGCAATATGAAGCCATTTTTACATTTATGCACTTAAATATAAATTTACTGGAAAAATAACCAAGTTTGTGTCTCTGTGCTCAATAACGAGTAAATAGTCCAGTTATTTGTTAATTTTACTTGGAAAGTTTTCCGGAATTTTTGAAAATTGGTGAATAAATAGATTTCGCTATGTTCTTTCCGAATTTTGTGACCTCGTTTATAGCCGCGCGCGCGCCCGCCTTATTGAAAAAAATCCGCCTTAAAAAAGGTTTTTGACAACTACTTTTTTCATTTTATAATTTTTGGGACATAGACAAGCTAAGAAGCTTTGATAAATGTGATAAATTTCATGTAATGTAAGTTAAATAGATTTAGAGTTGTGAAACAGTCAAATTAATGTACCTGCTAAATTGCGAGTTCTTTTTTCTTTGATCATGGCAGGACACGCTGCCGGGTGTCCTAAATATGCTGAAGTATAAAAAAATTCGCGTTGCTGAAGTATACATTTTTTTTGTCTTGTTTGTTTCTACATTACATAATTGTATCCTACTAATATTATAAATGCGAAAGTTTGGATGTCTGGAAGTTTAAAATAAAGTAAAGTAATGTTTATTTCTCACCAACATAACAGATAATATTATGATAACAAACAATCAGGAAAAACAAAAAGTAAGAATGTTGGTGGGTTGATACCTGAACTAGGAAGATTCCTGTGTCTCAGGTTTGTTACTCTTTCACGCAAAAAGTACTCAACGGATTTTGTTGAAACTGTACAATATTATTGTTTGTAACCCAGATTAACATATAGGCTATAATTTATGCCGATCTGTGACACTAAATTTCACGCGGGTGAAGCCGCAGGCAAAAGCTAGTCGTGAAATAAATAGGAAAGTTTAAGGTTCTGAAACGTGGTCGCTTACTATGGGCCTCATAAGAAGGCTCAAGGTCACCCAAAGGGTGATGGAGCGGGCTATGCTCGGGGTTTCCCTGCGTGATCGAATCAGAAATGAGGAGATCCGCAGGAGAACCAAAGTGACCGACATAGCACGCAGAATTGCTAAAATCAAGTGGCAGTGGGCGGGACACATAGCTCGTAGAGACGATGGCCATTGGGGCAGAAAATTTCTTGAGTGGCGACCACGGGCTGGAAGACGTAGCGTGGGCAGGCCTCCTACTAGGTGGACCGACGATCTGGTAAAGGTCGCGGGAAGAACCTGAATGCGGGCAGCGCAGGACTGTTCATTATGAAAAACCTATGGAAAACCCAAAGGATTCACGCCTTTGTCCAGCAGTGAACGTCATTTGGCTGTAACGACGAAATAGGAAAGAATGTAACTATCAAAAATCTTCTCTAAGGCAGCATTTTTCCAATTTCGCAACGAGCGCGGCAATCACACTTAACTAACAGACTAACAGAGAGCATAGCGAAATCTATTTTAATCACCAATTTTCAAAACTCCCTGAACACTTTCCAGGTAACCACGTTAATTTGTATCAAACGACTGGACTATAATTTAATTGATATAAAAATTTGGGTACATCTTCTCAAAAACAAAAGAACTGGTGCTAAAAGGGTTAAGTGACGTTTTGACATTTGTAGAGGGCCTTGTAGAAGGGGAGGCTATGGTGCTGAATGTGGATTAACTCGAGTGTCATAGTAACTTATTAGACTGCTAAGCTTGATGATAAAGAGAAAAATATTTTATTCAATGTACATAGTCTGGTCATAAGTTCTGTCATATGATAATAACTTTTGAATTTTGAATGAAGGTTTCAAAAACATTTTTTACTGAATTAGAATTAAAAAGAAAAAATGTGCGATAGTTCGAATTTTATTGTATGTGTAGTGGACGCACAAAGAAGTCAGAACTGCAGTTGGTTATCTTTTCATTAAATGATAGGTATAGGTGTACCAGAATCTCATGGTAAACAAAAATATTGGAAAAGTGTGTCTTTCATATGGCAAATGTCTATGGATTTATTGTCACCTGTCAAAGTAAATCAAGTGAACTGTCAGTCGCTGCAGAAATTTTGTAATCTCTTCATGCCTATTTGTTATTTTTGTGAAAAAGTCGAAAAAGCTCAAGCAAGTCATATTGTTTTCAATGTGTATTGTAAAATAAGGCATAATTCAAAGTCAATCTTTGATTTTAAAGCGCGTCGTTGAATTGACAGTAAGTTGGAGTGAAATTGGATACATTTAGTTTATTACCTAACTGCGTCGGAAGGGTTTTTTTAAATATTATTCTTATAATAGCTGCTTTATCTGGGGTTTCAGGTGTACCTCACAAATTGGTGCAGAGGAATGGTGAAAATGTTATGACCATGTAAATAAAATTGAAAAAGATTTCATCAAGTAAGATGTAAGATAGAACAATTAAAATGGTGGAAGAGCAATTTATAATAAATACCTCTTTATGTTGATCATCTATTGAAGAAAAGTGGAATCCTTGGAATCGTTTTCTAGTTCTGAATGAAGTGATTAGTTATAAGTATGATACATAATAAAATTAGTTACATAAAGTAATATACGATTTACTTATTTTTCAAGACATTTTCCTATTATTATTACTGACGGGATTGCTACCATGTACCTTAGTTTTGAGTTTCCAATATTTCGGCACTGTTGCAAGCGCCATGGTCACGAAGTAACTGAAGAAATTAAAACCAGACATCGTTCAGATGTGCGTTCAAAAGACCTGAGATTTAAAAAAATCCCACGTTTTGTTTCACAGTAAGCGAAAAAAAAGTGACTTGAAAATGGAATACAAAATGATAAGGTATGGTAAATGATAAGTCTTTATCAATGAAGAAGCAGAAGTTCAATTTCATGTGTCCTCCATCTAGGCTAGTTTCTATCGTCACTTTAAGTTTGGCTGCGGTCTCAAATTTGGGCTTAATTGAGGTATTTTTTGGGTGAGAGGCATAGGAACTAATGCCGTTTTATATCAAAAATTCATACTTAGAGGTAATCAACCAGGTACAAAGTATTTCCTTGTATGTTAGTCTGCCACTCTTTAGTAAGTCCCGAAATTCCCGCTTCGGCTCCCCTACTAACCATTCTAACCATTGTACACAGATAATATCTTACATGCTGCTTTTCATGTTACTACGTCACATTTTTAAAATCCGCACGGAAAATCGCTACTAGCGGAAGAGCGCACTTTGAGCTTGAATATTTCAGTCATTTTTAAAGATATCAAAAAAGTAAAAATACAGTATTCATTCTAATTTTTTGTAGTTTTTTTTGGCATCTTCAACAAAAATTGTGCGCCATGTCCATTAAAGCCAGCCATCTCTTAGGTTTGTAGGTATTAAGTTTTACCAATCTATGCGTTGGGATAAGTATTTGAGCAGGTATAGAATCTACCAAGGCCCGATTCGACCAAACTTTTATCCGAGAATAACTCCTGGTATAACTGACATTGACAGTTTCAGTATGAAAAATATGGCAAAACTGACGATTTATTATGAGATTAATATTTACTCTTGTTTGGTCGAATCCACCCTAAATCGACGAAGTAACGTTTATGTTATGAAATACATAATAAAACCATCTTTATCTGAAATTAAATCATTTATTTGATAACAATAAATAACAAAATATACACAGCGCAGATTGAGGTTCTAGTTTACAATAGTTACATTATGTAAATGTAAAAATAAATAATATTTTATCCTTTATACATAGTATAATATATTCACTACATAACAAATATTAATATCTAAAGTTATTATGTACAAGCTACATACTAGCTTATTATGATGTAAGCCTCGGTGTTTTCTACAGTAAAACAGTGTAGTATATTCCATTGAGTCAATCAAAGTTTATAATATAACTGTTCAAAATTTTGAAAAAAGTAGGAATATGTGTTAAAAAGATTCGAAGTATCATCTATTGATACGTATAAACCTATGACGTAGGAAACGTGACATAGGAAAAAATATAGATGCTATTATTGCTAATGAAAATCCTTCGACAACAAAATAATATAGTGAAACAACGTATCAATGAGTCAAAAAGCTACATCCAATTATTTTAACGTTCAGTAGCTTATTTTTCCTAAATTATACTAATATCGCGCCATCTATCGCCGTCAATCGGAACTAACGGCAGCGCCATCTATCGGTCACTGTCGCTTCGACTTTCTATCCTTCAGCAGGCTCGCGATGAAGAACTCCCCAGCCCTATACGAGGACCGAACTAAGGGCCCACTAGCTGTATACAGAAAGCCGAGCTCATTGCCTCTGTCTTCCCACTGCTTGAACTTGGCGGGAGTGACGTACTCGAAGACTTTGAGGTGGCGTTTGGTAGGCTGCATGTACTGGCCTAGGGTCACGCAGTCCACGCCTGCTGAACGAAGATCTGTAATGGAAGCGTACAAAGTTCATAATTAATTGCTTAATAAATATTTTTTGCATGTTATCCTGCATCACATTCCACTGCTGCAACTACTCTGTAGCCAGGATCTCTACACCTTGACCGCCAATAAAAACCAACCAGTGATAGCGCGCTATTAAAGCAAATAGGCGATGTCATCAGTGACTGCAAATTGTTTTGGTGACTCATATATTCATATACAGGGTGTTAGGTAAATGGGTATATGAGCCGACACTAGCCCATGTTAACACGGTCATATAAATGGTATGGTAGCGTCAGAAAATTGATATCTTCATTTTAATTCTCCTAAGTCTTCTTTATACCTACTATAGCCTTGTCAGAAGCTGCTTAGAATACTGTTCTGTAATCTGGGCACCCAGCTACACAGTTCACTCTGAGAGAATTGAAAGGGTACAAAAAAAATGCCTCAGGATCTTATCCTTCAGAGCCGGACTCCACCGAAAACTGGTGTCCTATCAGGACAGGCTTCGCCACTTCAAGTTGACACCATTGATAGTGCGTAGAAAGCAACAGGATCTTCTTCACCTACATAAGATTTTGCACTCTGCCTTTGACTCCCCTATTTTGCTTTCCTTGCTTAACTTTAACGCCAGAATTCTTTCTAGAAACCGCAAAAAGACATTTGTATTGCAAGTATTCAAGAATAACACGTCCTTTTTCAACCCAGTAGTACGAATGTGTCGGCTTTACAATGAACTGCTACAGAACGATAGCAAAACATCGACATCACTAGATCTCGATATTTTCGAGCCTAAGCACGTCCGATTCCGTCGCAACGTCAAAAAGATCCTCTACTGCGCTTCCTCTTCGGGCATTACTTTGACATAGCTTTAAGAGTTCACATTTAGTTCCAATGTGTACTTAAAGCATTAGTACAGTTCACTCGTGATGTATAAGCTGTATTATTGCAATTAATTACACCTATACCTGTCTAAGGGACTTATAGGAGTGTAGACTAGTGTAGAGTTATACTTTTATACGATTGTTGGTGTTATAATACTCTAACAACTATCCTTTAGTCAGCCGTCTGACTAAGAGCATTATAGGAGGGTAGAGATACGGCAACCGCTGTTTAACGGCCTACTTGTACGATGTTATAGAGCTAGCATTTTAATAGAACACACGTGGTCATTTATAAAGCCAAAGGCTGTTATGTTTACTTGTTTTAGACTGTTATACAGCTAGTAGCTGTAGTAGGACTTGTTTGTGTTAATAAAATAACCTTTTTTTACTATCTGTACAAAAGTGTTTCAATGGTTCGCATGTGCACTGTAGGCTGTTAAAAGGACTATATGTGTTGTCCATTAACATCAATAGCAGTTTATTTGTCCACAAGTACTACTCTTATTTGCTTTAAGCTGAAAATGAATGTGAATGTGATATTCTATTACACTTTTCCCCAAGCCTGTTTTTAGTTGTATTTATGGTGGTTCTGTACATGATGCAGAGGAAAATATTATGCCTGAACCTGAAAGTTCCCTTCAAAATATACAGATATCAGAGTGTGATGATTGCAGTTCTAATGATAGTGAATACAATTTTGATTTAGACAATTATTTAACCTTTAGCAAAAAAATAAGAACATGGGCTATTGAAAATCGTATTCCTCATTCCGCTTTGAATAAATTGTCAGGCATAATAAACGAATTTAAACCGGGAACACTACCGTCTGATGCTTTAGGTATTCATACTTGACTATTAGTACCTGGGCTAGGCGATTTAACGGACATTAATAATTTTAATTGCGGATCTCTAAAATTTCAGTATTTGAAAGAATTAAAGATACACAATTGACCTGAACTAGGTACATCTTAAAGCTGTACATAAGTTCACATTAGAATAAATTTATACACATTAGCGCTGTAGTGGTACAAATGTGGAACTTAATATAGATAACAGCATTCTAACAGAACACATGTGAACCTAATATACGCTCACCGCATTAAATTGGAGTTATAACAGTTCACATAGCCGCAGGCGCGGATCCACCGTTGTGGGCACTGTGGGCATGCCCACAACCCTAATTTGCTTGTTTTATTTATGATCTATTGTTAAGATCGATAGGCTGATGATAAAAGCGGGTGACTGATGAGCCTTTAAAAATCGAGCGTGATTGAGCGTGAGCACGGTAATACTATAGATAGTATTACCGTGGCGTGAGTGAGTTCGTACTCCAATCCAACTCTCACTTTGCTAATTTTTAGTGGCCGTGCCCACAACCTTTTTTGAGGGCTGGATCCGCGCCTGCATAGCCGNTAATTATTTAAATTTTCATACAAATCGGACATCATAAAAAATATTTTGTATGAAAATTAAATAAATAAAAATGATGATATCGAATTTCTGACTTCACCATACCATTTAAATGCCCATGTTAACATAGGCTAGTGTCGGCTCATATACCCATTTACCTAACACCCTGTAGTGACTCGAATTACATTTAAGTTTAGTGTAAGGATGTTACCTTTCATTGTTTGTTCCACTTGTTGGTCCGTCTCGCCCAGTCCCAGCATTATTGACGACTTCGTCACGAGGTCCGGGTTGATCTCCTTCGCCGTTTCTAACACTTTCAACGTCTGGCGGTAACTGGAAATATAAAATTACAATGATATTATATTCAAACGATTCTGAAACGTCATGTGGTAAAAATCAGAACTAATAATCCAATATTGATAGTAGCGCACTCCTGCAATGGCACAGTTTGGAGTTGTCCAACGTGGCAAAAATTTAAACTAATAACCCAATATGAACCAGTACCCCGACGGATTAGCAAGCTGAATTGGCAATCGGCAGGGCACATAGTACGCAGAACTGACGTCCGATGGGGCAGAAAGGTTCTGGAATGGAGGCCGCGTACCGGAAAACGCAGCGTGGGACGTCCACCTACAAGGTGAACCGACGACATCGTAAAGGTAGCGGGGAAGCGCTGGACGCAGGCCGCTACCAATCGATCAACATGGAAAGCATTGGGGGAGGCCTATCCCAAGTAACATTTTACTCCATTTAAGAGTTCACATTTAGTTCCAATGTGTACTTAAAGCATTAGTACAGTTCACTCGTGATGTATAAGCTGTATTATTGCAATTAATTACACCTATACCTGTCTAAGGGACTTATAGGAGTGTAGACTAGTGTAGAGTTATACTTTTATACGATTGTTGGTGTTATAATACTCTAACAACTATCCTTTAGTCAGCCGTCTGACTAAGAGCATTATAGGAGGGTAGAGATACGGCAACTGCTGTTTAACGGCCTACTTGTACGATGTTATAGAGCTAGCATTTTAATAGAACACACGTGGTCATTTATAAAGCCAAAGGCTGTTATGTTTACTTGTTTTAGACTGTTATACAGCTAGTAGCTGTAGTAGGACTTGTTTGTGTTAATAAAATAACCTTTTTTTACTATCTGTACAAAAGTGTTTCAATGGTTCGCATGTGCACTGTAGGCTGTTAAAAGGACTATATGTGTTGTCCATTAACATCAATAGCAGTTTATTTGTCCACAAGTACTACTCTTATTTGCTTTAAGCTGAAAATGAATGTGAATGTGATATTCTATTACACTTTTCCCCAAGCCTGTTTTTAGTTGTATTTATGGTGGTTCTGTACATGATGCAGAGGAAAATATTATGCCTGAACCTGAAAGTTCCCTTCAAAATATACAGATATCAGAGTGTGATGATTGCAGTTCTAGTGATAGTGAATACAATTTTGATTTAGACAATTATTTAACCTTTAGCAAAAAAATAAGAACATGGGCTATTGAAAATCGTATTCCTCATTCCGCTTTGAATAAATTGTCAGGCATAATAAACGAATTTAAACCGGGAACACTACCGTCTGATGCTTTAGGTATTCATACTTGACTATTAGTACCTGGGCTAGGCGATTTAACGGACATTAATAATTTTTATTGCGGATCTCTAAAATTTCAGTATTTGAAAGAATTAAAGATACACAATTGACCTGAACTAGGTACATCTTAAAGCTGTACATAAGTTCACATTAGAATAAATTTATAGACATTAGCGCTGTAGTGGTACAAATGTGGAACTTAATATAGATAACAGCATTCTAACAGAACACATGTGAACCTAATATACGCTCACCGCATTAAATTGGAGTTATAACAGTTCACATAGCCGTATTTCATTTCCACCATTTTGTTCTACATAACCTAAAATATTTACCAAATAAATCTCCAAAATTAATGCAGATTTATCACAAAATTCGCAGATAGAGCGATTGAGTTTTGGTTTCATGTTATAATTAATTACCGTAGTATAATTATAATGCCAATACAATATCAAAAACTGAAAATTGTAGATTTCCTCTCAGCCAGTTTTAAATATTTTAAAATGAATATCGCGTTTTTACAGAGGCGCGTAAATATTTTAGCTGTAAATATGTATACATTTCACGATAAAGTTGCATTCCCAATGGCATTAACATTATTAAGTATTTAAAACCCGTGTTATTATTTGCATAAATGATTATATTATCCGCCCGAGTTGTTTCCTCTTGGCACTCACGTACAAATACCAAACTAATATTAAAATGTGGAAATAATTTAGGACACACGTGAACTTTATGTAGCATTGGAGTACTTTTGTCGGACTTTATAACTTTGAAAGCTGTGCATTTAGCCACTTGTTACTCTTTATTGTCCTCACGTACGTTGTATGGTTCACACTGCGTCCCATATAGTGCCGTAAGTCAGCCTTAAGTACGATGTTACTACTTAAACTGCTATTATAATGCTATTATACTGCTAATGTACAGCCATAGTGAACTTAAAGCTGTCTAATTTGTGCCCAAACTGGTTCTATAAAAGCATTATAGCAAGCTATACAGCTCGTATACAGCTGACATACACAGCTTGTGGAGTACATGTGAACGACTATTGAACTCTTAAATGGAGTAAAATGTTACTTGGGATGTTCAGCAGTGGACGTCCTATGGCTAAAAAGATGATGATGATGATGAACCCAGTATGATAGTAGCGCCCTCCTGTTAATGTCATAGCTGGGACGGTTCAGTGTTGGACAAGTATAATAAGTGTGGGACTGTAGCGTTCTATGTCCAGCAGTAGACTTTTAGAATATAATGATGTAGTATTTTACAACCTTATGCCCCTATATGAGGCACTTGGGAGCTCGTCCAGTATAAAAACAAACACATACCCAGCTCTAGGGTCCCGTACGAAGGGCGTGAGTCGCTCGACAGTCTCGATGTTATGCGCGAACACGTCCAGGCCGCACAGCGCGATCCTTTCGATGCTCTCACGGTTGCCTCGGAAGTCGGGCACCAGGCATTCCACTAGGATCTCGCTGTTTCTGGAAATGCATTAAAATCATTCTTTAGTGTTCATGAGGAAACCCCCCTCTAATTTACCAGAGATAAATGGAGTATTTGGCCTACACTCCCCAGGTGGGTTGGGAAACATTTAATGCTGAAAAATATACTTGTGCAGTACTTGCTATTCATTTATGCCATCTAAATACACATATTTAAAAAACTAGCGGCCGCCCGCGACTTCGTACGCGTGCATCCCGTTTTACCCTCTTCATCTAACTTAAGCGGTTTAGATTTTTTCATACAAATGTTTTTTCCCGCTAACTCCCGTTCCCGTGGGAATTTTGCAATATCCTGTTGTAACTAAGCTTTAAATTTACTAAGATACCTGCATGCCAAATTGACCTCTCTACAGATTTATTATAAAGTATAGATAGATGTTACTTACTGTCTCTTGATTTCTTTTACAGTTTCAGCGAAATGTGACGAGCCTCCGTCTGGTAGATCTGTAAAGAAATATGAGTTGTTTTAGTCACTTTCATTCGGTGATTTCTCATAGTCTTCATGAACTCACATAGCCAGGGCATTGCAGATTTGAATGGACTAGTTTTTGAAATAACGACGTAGGGACGATCACATAGGAAACGTCCAACTGTCTTAACTTAATGTATTAAAATTCAAATTCAAAACGTTTATTTGCTAAAACACAGTAATACAGTTTTTGACATAATTATTTGTAGCAAGAAATTGAAAATTTCAACAATGTTCTTGGGTCTCATTGAAAGTGCATCAAAATGGTGGTGTAACAAATATCTATTTAATCCTAGAAATCCAGAACAATTTCTGCTAGAAATTGCTCCGATAACAGTCCAAAGTTCACAGCTGAAACAACCTGTAAGTAGCACTAGTGTTGTGTCACTGACCGTCTCTGTCCACCGAGGTTAGCACGATGTACCCGAGCCCCCATTGGTGGATGGCGAGCGCCGTGTTGCGAGGCTCGTCTACATCCAGCGGCGGCGGCGCTCGAGACGTCTTCACCGAGCAGAACATGCAGCCTCGAGTACAAGTGTCGCCCATAAGCTGGGGACAACAATATGAGATGCCAATGAGGGCTATCGCATTTGCACTCACCAGGCGGGCTAAGGCTGGTTTTAGAGTCACGCTGACGCACGCTGACCGTCAGCGCTGATAGCCGAATTGTATGAAGCGTCGGCGCCGAGCGGTCAGCGTCACTCAGGAACGTTCCCTTCAATTACATACATATTGATCTGTCAGCGCCGACGATCAGCGTGCGGTCAGCGCGACTCTAAAACCAGCCTAAGATGCGCGCCGTGATATATCTTACCGATTCATCATCCTTATCAGGTCATGTGGTCTCCACTGCAAACACATGTTCCTCGCTAATGTGCCACAACAGGCAAGAAATGTTGATCTTGGCTAGACAGGTTGTGGAGGCCAGAGGTGCAATTGTGCAAAGCAATCGTAGTCATTTAACAGATCAAAATGTACGCTATATTATGTCAAACGCCTTACAGATGTTATCTGCATACAACAGATTTTATTGCACCTCTGATGTTCATGTATTTGACCCATGAGGAAAGCATGTTGGAAGTTGGTAGTCAATTCTCTTGTATAAAATAAAGTTCTGAATCCAATTTAGTGTCCTATATTCAAGTAAGCAGATAACAATGCAAGAAACTTTTGATATTATTTTTAGGTCATCCAATACTATTCATCTTATCTGCATAATTATAATAATAACAAATATTTGTTAACAGACTAGGTCAGATGTCGTTTATTTGGCTTTATTAACAAAATAAACATTCCTATTTAAATTATTGACAATTTATATTTTACAAACTGACAGACAGAACAACAATGTGCACATTAGTAGAACAAAATATAACATAGGATAGGATTTATTAATTAGTTTTCAATAATTTGGCACAGCTCCATGCTTAAATACCTGGCACACACTGGCTCAACACAAATCCTAGCATTAGAAATTAAATTCTGAAATATATGTTACCATAATAGTAGCTGTGGAAGTGCCATGTTTGCCCCCACTCCAGCATTCTCCTATGTTCGGACATCGAGCCTCTTCACATACTGTGCTTAACTTCAAAGTCCGGAGCTGTTGCTTTAGTTCACTGAACTTTGAACCTAGAACACAGACACCATTGTATTATAAAGAGCTGACAATGAGAAACCCTGGTATTTTAAAAATATATGGCCATTTAATGGAAAGTAAACAATAATTATTACATCAGCTCATTAATAAGATAAGCAGTTATTATCTTTGCAAGTCAACAAGCACGGAAATAAGTTCAAAAGTAATAATGAAACAAATTAAGTTTACAATAATTTACGATACTAATGACATATCGATTTGGCATTTTTTAACAAAGCTTTACACTTATTTTTTTCTCATATTTTTAAATATAAATAAAATTAAAAAGGTATTTGAGCACCTTAACAGAAATTTATAGAAAACACTTTCAGATATATTTATCAAAATATGCCATACCATGAGTAGAAATCAGCATTTATCGCAAATCAGCTGTAATGGCAAGGCCAAGAAACAACACTATGGCTTCTGTAAACAATATAATACAGAAAATACGGTACAAACCTGTAGGAATCGTCGTCTTCAGCCATGGGGGAAGACGAAGACGCTCTTGCTCCCCTTTTTCCCTTTTAAGTTTCCCTTCATATTCCTCCCAATTTTTCGGTCTGTCTTCTGACACAAATTCTGCTAAGCTGGGTCCTTCCTTAAGTTTTTCTCTGATGGCGTCAAGTTTACTTGATGTATGCTTACATCTTTGAAGCTAAAAATTGAGAAATAAATTACATTATCATTTAAAAGTCATTAAAACAGAGAATTATTGATTCAGAATCAAAAGGTTATGAACTTTACTTACGTCACATTTTTTAACCAGAAAACAATATCTGGCGTTGTTTCGGAGCATAATTAATAATAATTATCGTTAATTACACCGTGCTTACGAATGGAAATCCACAAAAGATGTGAAAACACAACAAATTTTAAAATTAAGTCTTGTTTTTATCGTAACATCGCAATGAAGCTGTGTTTGTTTTTAGTTAACTAATTTTCTCTATTCAACGCTGGTGTTTTCAAATGTATTGAGATTTCTATATAAAACAGTGGTGAATTTCGACTGTATAAAAATTGTACCACAATGGAACAAGATTTCAACATCACAATGACAGACAGTAATTGTCACTGTCAAAAGCCTAAAGGGAATGATTCTTGTATAACTGGCCGATTCTCACAATAACCCTAATATTTTTTATTTCAAAAAAGTTGCTGAAATTAAGTCGCTCAGTGAAAGTTGAAGCTAATCAGCGTGCTTGTTTTGTTGATGGCTCAACCATCAACTCTCATTGCGCGACCTATAAGTATATCTTTTTCAAATATTTTCATCCAAGGGCCCCGTCCCCGAACAAACAACACAGCAAATGTTCGGGATTACTAATGTTTGGCCAAAAAACGTTTCCCAAATTATCACATCGCAAACAACGTTTCGCAAATTTTTATTTGGCAAATTCTCATTTGGCAAAGCAACTTATTGCAAACTTTTAATTCGCAAATGTTGTTTTTGGCATATTATTGTTGACCAAACAAATTATTTGGGATATAATATTTGGCAACATAAAACATTTGGTAAATAAACATTTGCCAAGTAAAATTTGGCCAAATGATAATTTGACCAAATGAATTAGTTGCGAAAAGTACAGTTGCTAAAAGTTCATTTGGGAAATGAAACTTTGGCGATAAGTTGTTTGCGAAGTGAAATTTGGCGAAAAGTAATTTGGCCAAACGGAAGGATACCAAATGTTCGTGAAGCGTTTGAGAAAAATTAATTAGCTTTCTGTCTGCTTTTACACAAAGATGCACTTGCATGCATTCCGTTTACGTTACGTTTGTTGAACTAGCGCAAGAATCTAGTCGTTAATTCCTCTATGGCGCAAAGCACAAAGCGACACGCGATATTTGTGCAAACAGCTGATTTTCGTTTGTCGTCCAGTCCACAAAGTACTGTCCAGTCGTAAAGAACATAAAAGAGTGTCCAGTATAACTGTCCAGTCGCGTTGAATATTTAGTGTAGGGGAAGCCTTTGTACGTTTTATGAACGTGTATCTCTTTTATTTTAAAGNTCAACAAAAACTATCCTATGTCCTTTCCCGTAACTCAAACTATCTCTATGCCAAACTTCATCAAAATCGGTGCAGTGGTATAGGTGTGAAAGCGACATAGACAGACAGACGAGAGTTACTTTCGCATTTTAAATATAAGTAGAGATAAATGCAGATTTATTTCTCGAACTTGTTATTTTCAGCATACAAATCTGAAGCACATTTGAAGTCTCTCTGACGTTTGACCAAAACACCCTCCATCAGGCCCTGACTGAGATAAGCACTGAAGTTATTTGATTACTATCTGATTCAACGTCATCCTATCAATAAAATCTCCTCAAAGAAAACTTTATCCTACAAAAAAAAGGACGTTCAATCAATTTCCCGAATTCCAAATCTTTCCGGAAAACTTTACATAATTTTTCTGTTCATCTAAATCTTCTTTGGACATCAAAGAATAGGGAAAAAACTGAAGGAATTCTTGAGTTTTGTAAGGACAATTTTAGCATCCTTTTTATTTATGTAGAATTTTAAGAACTTTTCTGTATGGTCCCTAAAAGTACACCATAATTTGTACATTATTTATTATGTCTACCTACATATTGGTATGACGTGTTACTAACTCCTTTTAAGCTCTTTAAAGTCTACCCCCAAAATCATTGACCGGTAAATCCTCTTCGACGGACGGGTGTTGTGTATTGAGTCTTAAAATAGCCTGGCATTTGAGGGTTAGTACTGGAATATTATATTGGTGGTGTACATGTTTGTGCATGGTAGATTAGAGTTACCTACTACGAGTACATATTTATTGAAAGCTTGATGTAGCTACTGTCGCCTGTATATTAATATCTACTGGCTTTTTCTGTACTTTTGGAACTGAGTTGATCAATAGCTGTTAAACTTACTATGTGCGTTCCCTTCGAGAGGGCACTGTTTCGTATACATAAAGATTTAGCAGAACCTCTAATACAATAGGCTAGTTTCCTAAAAAAAATTTTTTATTCCGTCAATTTTAATATAAAAAAATATTGGACACGTATATTTTTAATTGTCAATCAAACAAATAATTACATAGTTATCGTGCGTTGAAGTTCCGCGTGACGTCACAAAGTGCAGCACTTTTACGCACTCACTGACGTCACGTGCCTTTTCTTTACAACTTTGGCACGCTTTATCTCTTTACATTTTCATTAGTTTTAAAAAGTGAAAAATAGGTGTCGTGTATTTTTTGATAAGCTAACTGACGGACTAATTAAAACTCTTGCTTTTTTACCCATGAAACATTTCTATTGTAGCCAGAATGATAAAGTAAGTTGGACTCTACAACTCGCTGATTGGACACAGTTCATCTGAGGGACCACTCAGATGAACTGTGTCCAATACCAAACCTTCGTTTACCACAGTGGCCTCTCGAAGGGAACGCACATAACTTACTCATCTAATCATGTATTATGTTTCTTTGGATAAAATATGTACTTCTTCTCCTTCTTGTCGTGTCGTTGACCCAAAACTCAAAAAAGAGAGGCGTTGTCAGTAGCATACTAATAATAATTCTAATGATATATTTTGGTATTCGAAACCAAAAACATGCCTTGTCCTGCATAAAAAAAATTAGGCCTAGAGTCAAACCAATGCTACTTTGTCCCTCTGGGCATCGAACTAAAGTCTTTGGCTCAACTACTTACCTACCCAAACTACTACTCCACAACCACAATTCCTCAACAGGAGCAAAACATTTACGGGAATCCAATAACATACAATTTGCTATTCACAATCGCTGAACAACTCGAATATAAACTTTATTCGATCCTTTATTCAGGTATCACAATATGATACCCTACAGTTGTATGGAATCCTCCAAATAGAAAGTCTGGGGTAACTCCAACGAAGTTTGTGGCAAATCCCTTCCAGCGTCAGCCGGAGCTAGGGCTGCCACAATGATTGTCAGAAAAGTCAAACATTTTATTAGCCCGACAGATAGAAATAGCCCGACGGATTAGCAAGCTGAAGTGGCAATGGGCAGGGCACATAGTACGCAGAACTGATGGCCGATGGGACAGAATTGTTCCGGAATGGAGGCCGCGTACCGGAAAACGCAGCGTGGGACGTCCACCCACAAGGTGGACCGAAAGGTAGCAGGAAGGCGCTGGATGCAGGCCGCTACCAACCGTGCGATGTGGAAGTCATTGGGGAGGCCTATGTTCAGCAGTGGACGTCCTGTGGCTGAAATTATGATGAAACATTTTATTTGGACTACCTACTTACTTGTAACACAGCTTGAGTTGTTATTTTACTACGAGGAGTTAAAGTTATAGGTGACATTTTATAAACTCCCAAAACATAATTTTATCCTACCACACTACTGCCTCGGTATAATGTTGTGGGCCAATACTGAGGAACCCTTAATAATAGACTATTTGACACCATTTCACACAACTTTTTTAAAAACACAGTTCATTCTGGTCTTGAAAACTTAATTAATTTTAAATTACCTGTAAATTAAGATTTTTGGTTGCATAGTTTATTTGAGTTGGCAAAATAGTGACGTCACTTGCTTGTATTGCCATACAAAATCTATGGGAGTCTTGTTTTGACAGTTTAAAAAAGTACGTAAATTTATTGGTGGTGTCAACACGTCTATTTATTTACTTTAGTTATGTACTAACCATAGAACTTATTCAGAGATATGTCTATTATATCTGAATAGGTACATATAATGGAGTCATGTTGAAATTCCGCTATTGCACATTTACTAATTTTTATTTCCTATGTTCAATTGCGGACAGCGCAGGACCGGTCATTATGGAAATCCTTGGGAGGCTTTTGTCCAGCAGTGGACGTAATTTGGCTGAACTAATTACAATTAAGTTGCTTTATTTCTATAAATAATCTGTTGACAACCCTATCTCTATCGGTGTTGCCACATGCCAGTCAAGCGCCCGAACAAGACATATTGCAAAAGTTCCGACCTCCACGAAGGTTTTTACCCCTAATGTATACTCGTATACAGACGACAGCATATCAAGCTTACACTGTGGTACCTTATGTCATCGCAATAAGGTTGATTTTGCTACTAAAATGTGTAGTCTGACGTGCGGAGTTCAAAATGTATTCCGAACATGTATGGGAGTTTGTCTTTTGCTTTTTAATACGATACGAGTTTGACAATTTGAGCCAGAAGAAAGGAAAAGTCATTGTTTCAACGCTATGAGTTTGAAGTGTTGTACGTTATAAGATACCAGCTGTTGCCCGCTGCTTTGCACGCATTTTTAACGTGATATAAATTTAGCATTATTATCTCAAGCGAGTAAATGAAACCTAAATAAATCGATAAAATTTTACACGTGATTTTCAACTGAAAAAAATCGACTCGTGTGAAATAATTTCCAGTCCTAAATCTAAAAATTACTCTATAAGATAATAAAACTAGATTAGCAACTTTATTTTATAACCAAGCAATCTCATAGAACCATATTAAAAGAAAACACGTTTCACATTTTCTTCCTTCTCGCCATATTAAACAAGGCAATAAACACGTACTAAAGATAACTCTAACACGCCTTATTTATTTTCAATGAAGCCCGCTTTAAAACCATTAAAGCCCCACAAAACCCACAAATCTCCTTCCCCTCTTAACGCAATTCATCCCAAAATTCTACCCCTCCTCCCAACAAATTGTAAGCAAAAAAGGTTATTAGGTACTCACGTAGTTCGCAAAAATACATTTTGCGAAGTAATTTTTCAATGCAAATAGTTTCGTGCGAACTTTTTTGTGAATTGCCCCGCGATAAAATCGCACGTTTTTTCGAAGTGGGCGGGTGGTGTGATTTACTGGGCAGTCATTTGTTTTCGCAGTTCGAAGTGAGTTGGGGAAGGTACTTGTTGAGGTGTTTCAGTTATTTAAAGTATTTTGGTGAATACGGGGCATTTTGTTGACAGTCTTTTTAATGTAGTATAGGTAAGTTTTGACTTTTTGCAAGACTATTACCGTTTTATATCAACCTCGGGTTGTGTACGAAACTCTGGTATTAACTTATATTATGACTCTATCAGAGAA